GCCTTCTGGTAGAAGGGCACCAGGAACTCCTCACAGACCAGCAGGGCCCGGCGTAGACCGGGGAGACAGCGCAGGTACTGCAGATATCGCCAAAGCACGATGGAGCCTTTGCCCTGTTGTCGACAGTGGCGGTGCACAGACAACACGTGGATGTGTACCGTGGGAGAGTCTGGAATGTGTGTGGTCAAGGCTTCCTGGATCAAATGGTCAAAAGAGGGTTAGAATGTAAACCTAAAGTGAAGTTATTGATCTACATGATAACAGGTTTCTTTAAAGAATCATGTTTCTCACCTGTTCTAGTTTCTCTTTGTCCCAGCCAGATCCAATGATGAAGGCCACCAGCTGACCCTCTTCAAACCATCCCATCGAGAGCTCAGGACACTGGCCCAGGAAACTAAGCACCTCATCAAGGGTGAGTGGACATTCACCGGAAACAGAGATAAACGCTGCAGAGGGGAAAATACAGGGGTGAGTCAACCCTGTTATACCAATGCAAACAAGAGCTTATTGGCGGATTATCAGGTTTATCACATTAAGATCTGCATGTTGACTAGAGTCTTCTAGTTTTCTAGAGCTTAGGGGGTGATTTGTTTTAACAGGTAGGAATTATTAACTGCCCTTAACCGAAATAATGTAACATTATATATAAGTAAAACCATTTGTTGCCTATCCAGATGTTTGTTGGTGTGTTTTTACAGTAATCTATGGGGCACTAATTGTAAAATACCCAATACCCAATCTTTTTTTAAATTGAAATTCATTTTGCTTTATTGGTATGACATACACTACCTTTCAATCAAACGTTTGGGGGTTTGAATGATTTTTTTAAAGAAGTTTTTTTGCTCACCAAGCTGCATTTTTTCAATTAAAAACAAAATCCTATTATGACTTATTTAATTTTAAATTGTAATAATATTGTGAAATATTATTACAATTTAAAATAAGTGTTTTCTGCTAAGATATATTTTTACATTTTATTTCTGTGATGGAAAAGCTGAATTTTCAGCATCATTACTGCAGTCTTCAGTGTCACATGATCTATCATTTATTAATCGAATATGCTATTAATATAATTTGCTGCTCAAGAAACATTTCTTATTATTATCAATGTTGAAAACAGTTGTGCTGCTTAATATTTTGGTGGAAAATGCAAAAAATTTTCTGACGTTGATGAAAAGAAAGTTCGAAATTACAACATTTATTTAAAATATAAATATTTTGTAATATTATAAATGTCTTTACTGTAATTAATGCATCCTTGATGAAAAAAAGTATTTTTTTCTATTAAAAGTTTTTTTTGCTGACCCCAAATAGGTGGTGTATTTTAGTACATATTGCCAAAACATTTTAGAAAATGAAATAAAAAAAAGAAAGTAGATAGATAACTTATTTAAAATAAGTTAAATAATTAAGCAACCCAACCACCAGATTTCCTAGAGAAATGCCTTCCGCAGGGATCAAGTGTGTATGAGCTGCTTAAACTACATTCACTCGGGATAACTAACACAAAAAGAGTGTTTTTATCTAAAAACATGTTTCAGATTATTAACACTGACTGCGCAATCAATAGGTAATTCTGCCACTGTATTTTGGTAAATCCCAGTATAACCCCACCATGTGTGCGTGAAACATCTTACCTTCTCTCTCTATCTCAAACACACTAATGGCGTCCTGTGGGGTGAGATTTCGAAACTCGCTGGCAGGTAACGTGTGTCGTCGCTGCCGTCGAGAACTGGCAACACTTAGCGGTGTCTTCAGAAAGAATGGCTTCAGGAAGGGTGAGCTGATGACCTGCGGTGCCATGGTCTGACACACACACACTTCTGATGGCTGGAGGACAGTGCGGTCTGAAATACTAACGCAGCCTCTTCAGCTCTTAGTTTTCCCTCACTTCAGAGTTTTAGGACACTGCTGTCTTTCCCTCAGTGGATTTGTCCGGCCGCTCTCTTCTACGGTCTGAAGTGTTTGAGTCCTATCACACTACCTCCTATTCTTTAACCCTCCCCCCGTCCCTCTCTTTGTCCCGGCCCGCCCCGATCTGCTAAAGTGTCCCGTCTTTAGAGGGATAGTGATGTGCGCACGTGCCAGGTGAAGCTGCAGCAATCTCCTAAGAGTCTGTGAGCTAATAGCCTACTCACAACGCAGCTCCAAATGCTTACCCAGAAACTGATTGTACAGCTAAAGAAAGCTCTGTTACGTATTTGGTGTTACCAAATTCAGCAAGCCGGTGCTTAAAAAGAAAACAAGGATGGCATCGGCTGATAAATACACTCACAGGGCCAATAAACAGAAGTGGTGTATCGTCAAATCATGTAACAGTTCCAAAATCTTTGGGTTATCGTCAGTTTGTCAAGGCATAATGAACATTACACTACCATTCAACTGCATTTATTTGATAAAAAATACAGTTTTAACTGGTATGAATTATTAACTACCCTTAACCAAAATCAAAGTCATCACAATGTAACAAAGTATAAGTAAAACTGTTTTTTTTAACCTATCCATGTGTGTTGGTGTGTTTTTTAAAAGGTTTTATGTGGCACCAATTGTAAAATTAATAGTTGTAGATATTTTTTTACAGACTATGACATAAACTATAAGGTTTTAAATGGGGGCTGTAAGATTTTTGTAATGTTTGTTCAAGTAAATGCTCACCAAGGCTGTATTTATTTGATCAAAATACAGTAAAATTATGAAATATTATTACAATGAGAATTTACTGTTTTCTACTTTTAATATATTTTAAAAGGTAATTTATTCCAGTGATGTCAAGCTGATTTCTCAGCATCATTTTCATTGATCCTTCAGAAATCATTCTAATATGCTGATTTGCAAAGTTGAAAACAGTTGTGCTTTTCAGGATGATGAATATGAAGCATTTATTTAAAAGAAACATATTATAAATGCCTTTACTGACACCTTTGATCAATAAAATAAAAGTATTAATGTCTTACACATTTTTTACTGACCCCAGATGTTTGAAAAATAGTGCATGTTTTGACATTTATTTATATTAATGATATTTATTTATATTAATGATATTTATTTATATTAATGAAATACTTTTTCACATCACAAAGAGGGTTGAACACCTAATTAAAAAGGAAAGGGATTCTTGAAGCATCTTTTTCCTTTAATAACCTGGCTTACATTTGACGTCCACACAACCATATCAAGTGTGAATCAGTACTCTAAAAAAATACAAATTATTTTTGGACTGTATATTTTCTAGCCAAATAGTAGTCATTTTTAGGCAGTTTTTGTGTAACCCAACTTTTTTTTTTTTTTGAGCAGCCCAAACAGGAAATTAGATTAATTCAGTATGTGTTTTGTCCTTAAATATTAACACGCAGCTTAAATATTTCCACATACAGGTGCATCTCAATAAATTAGAATGTCATGGAAAAGTTAATTTATTTCAGTAATTCAACTCAAATTGTGACTCAATTATCCATTTATAAAGTCCTTTTGAACGAAGCAAATGAGTCCGTGACTTATTCATTAAATAGTGATTTGCCGCCACCTAATGGCGGTTTTAGTTTCATATTTAAGAAAACAATAGTGGATTTAAGATCAAATTGTAACCATCTAATGTTAAAACGTGTTTTTATTGTAACAGTCTCCTTTTAAATACTTTGGTCAGTTCAGCAATAATTTATGCAATTGTATATGATTCATCTGAAAGAATAAAAGGAACAGTGTCATGACTATTTCTGAAGGATCATGTGACACTGAAGACTGAAATGATGCTAAAAAATTCAGCTTTGCAACACAGGAATAAATTACATCTTAAAATATATTAAAGGGGTCATATGATGCGATTTCAAGTTTTCCTTTCTCTTTGGAGTGTTACAAGCTGATTGTGCATAGATAAGATTCCTGAAGTTGCAAAGACTAAAGTCTCAAACCCAAAGAGATATTCTTTATCAAAGTTAAGAATCTGCCACGCCCCCCTAAAACGGCTCGTTCCAACACGCCCCCACATATCTACCTCACTATGCTGTTCAAATGCGGTGTTTTGCGCATTGTGTGTGTGTGTGCACGCGAGCGAGCGAGCGAGAGAGGGGGGAGGGGGGGTCACATCCCAGTGGAGTCAGCTGTCTTAACCGTGGCTTGTGTACTGCAAACACATACCAGCTTCATTACTGTGTCTGTCACGAGACTGTTACCTTTCGGGCTGTCTTTACATTTATTTTGAAAGATGAAGCTTGCGATTATGGGAAGGGCCGTTAAATTTCCGACGAGTGCTTGCGGTGTTCGGCCAATCACAATGCACTGGGTCAGTTGGCCAATCAGAGCAGACTGCGCTTGTCGGAAGGAGGGACTTTGTTGAAAACGAAGCGTTTGAGAGAGGCGGGGCATAGAGGACCTACAATAATGTACAGTATTTGAAAAAGAATGTGTTTTTTGAACATTAAAGCATGTCAACATATTCTGTTACACCAAATACACAAAATAATCTTTAAAAAAAAGCATCATATGACCCCTTTAAAATAAGAAAACATTATTTCGAATTATAAATATAGTTCACAACATTACTATTATACTATTTTGGATCAAATAAATGCAGCATTACTGAGAATAAAATATCTTGTTAAAAACTGACCCCAAACTTTAAACCCTTAACAAAAACAAAAAAAAATTGCTCCTATTTGGACATTTTTTAACGCTTTTTTTGATGCTTCATATTATGTGGCCACCGTGGCAAATAATATGACTTTGAAATGTTTGCTTCCATGACATGGAACATGCCTCATCACAAGTCCAAACAGGTTCATCATTTCATCAACATTTTCAACTAGGGCTATCAATTGCTTAAATTCTATATAAATTTGAATTATACGTTATGCTAATTAATGTGTCAAATTAATTCAAATTATTCACATATCAATATGTCCTGAGAAAAAAAAATAATAATAATTTAAGACATTATATTATTGTGATAAAACCATTTAACACACGAAAAATAGCATTCACATAATATAGCATTTGTTTTATTTTCCTATTTCTAGTGGAGTCACTCACCGTCTTCAGGAGACAGTGAATCAGGGGCGTCCTCTCCAGCCGTACCCTGACAACACAAAGACAGAGTAGAACATGAGAAAAGTGCAACCCCATCAAGCAGGCCGTGTGTAAGATGTTAAATGGGCTATGCTGCTGACCTCAGTGGGGGCAGGACTGCTGGACAGCAGCATGTGAGCTTGTGCATCAGACATCTCAGACAGTTTTTCTTCATCCTCCTCCTGAATGGGTGACGATGGAGAGCGTAGAGTGCTGCAAACACAGACTGTCAGGACTAGCGATGATGCACTAATTAAACCTACTAGTACAAACACTATTCGATGATTGTGCCTTTGTTATCCTTATCATAGGAAACAATAAAATATCTTCTCACCATTAAAATGAAATGCACTGGGTGGCGCTGTGGACATGTGTCACTGGTGTGATGAGCGGTGATGAAGTAGGAAGTGTTTAGATTCTAATCTGTATATTGTAAGTGGCATGAGCCCCACAGGAAGGGGATCTGCTTTTATGGTGGAAAGAGAACACAAGAAAAAAGTGGACACTCCTCAGAGAGTTGTCTCTGCCCTGCAACCTTTTGTGCCATGAGGGCACATTTTTTCCAAAGTAGACCCTGTGATTACCAGGATAAAACTTTCACCGCTTTTTTTTTTTATCATCAACATGTTAAAAAATATAAAATGCAATCGCTTTTATAGACACTTGTTTTGTATATGTGCATTATCCTAATTATGAGCATCTACTTCTCCACTCTGTCAGTTTTTTTATGGCTAATTTTAAATCTTGATGTGTTCATTAATATAGAAACCAATTTTTATCATTCAGTTATTTATTTATTTATTTGACAATTTTATTATTTTACTTGATTAATTTCTTTGTCAAGTAATCAGTCAGTCGATCTTTTTAATTGTGTTAGAAGAACTCTCAACAAAAATATTTGAAATGTCCACTTCTAGTTAAAACAGGAAGACGGACAATGAGTCAACATGCATGCTTCCTGAGATAGAGCATATTTTTTCTTAATGCCACAATCTCAACAGGATGTACTGAAAAGGGCAAGCCAAGTCATTATTCTGATTTATGGAAAGAAGAAACTTATGACCTCTTGCTCTGACAAATAGCCTTCCTAACACAGGAAGTTCAGCTCGAGTGGCCAGCTATTATTACACAGTCACGAGAATGCAAACATAATTTACCAGTCTCACTTGAGATCAGCCAAAAGTAGTGGTTCAACGGATCGGATCACATTACGGTTTTTGACCCACGGATCGGATAATTTTTCGGATCAGCAAGAAAAGAAAAATATTTCAATTTATCTTGCTTTCCATTTACTACTTAATGCAAAGTATTTATTTTGATACCACAGCAAATACTACTAGATTAACAAAGAAAGTTTAAACATGATTAAAGAGACAAGAGAACAGCCAGTAAAAATAAGAACAAATACACAAATTACAATCATAGATAAACACAACACAATATGTTACAAATAAAATAAGGTTGGTAGTATTCAAATACAGAAATGTAAGACCTCAGTGGGGGCAGGACTGCTGGACAGCAGCATGTGAGCTTGTGCATCAGACATCTCAGACAGTTTTTCTTCATCCTCCTCCTGAATGGGTGACGATGGAGAGCGTAGAGTGCTGCAAACACAGACTGTCAGGACTAGCGATGATGCACTAATTAAACCTACTAGTACAAACACTATTCGATGATTGTGCCTTTGTTATCCTTATCATAGGAAACAATAAAATATCTTCTCACCATTAAAATGAAATGCACTGGGTGGCGCTGTGGACATGTGTCACTGGTGTGATGAGCGGTGATGAAGTAGGAAGTGTTTAGATTCTAATCTGTATATTGTAAGTGGCATGAGCCCCACAGGAAGGGGATCTGCTTTTATGGTGGAAAGAGAACACAAGAAAAAAGTGGACACTCCTCAGAGAGGTGTCTCTGCCCTGCAACCTTTTGTGCCATGAGGGCACATTTTTTCCAAAGTAGACCCTGTGATTACCAGGATAAAACTTTCACCGCTTTTTTTTTTTATCATCAACATGTTAAAAAATATAAAATGCAATCGCTTTTATAGACACTTGTTTTGTATATGTGCATTATCCTAATTATGAGCATCTACTTCTCCACTCTGTCAGTTTTTTTATGGCTAATTTTAAATCTTGATGTGTTCATTAATATAGAAACCAATTTTTATCATTCAGTTATTTATTTATTTATTTGACAATTTTATTATTTTACTTGATTAATTTCTTTGTCAAGTAATCAGTCAGTCGATCTTTTTAATTGTGTTAGAAGAACTCTCAACAAAAATATTTGAAATGTCCACTTCTAGTTAAAACAGGAAGACGGACAATGAGTCAACATGCATGCTTCCTGAGATAGAGCATATTTTTTCTTAATGCCACAATCTCAACAGGATGTACTGAAAAGGGCAAGCCAAGTCATTATTCTGATTTATGGAAAGAAGAAACTTATGACCTCTTGCTCTGACAAATAGCCTTCCTAACACAGGAAGTTCAGCTCGAGTGGCCAGCTATTATTACACAGTCACGAGAATGCAAACATAATTTACCAGTCTCACTTGAGATCAGCCAAAAGTAGTGGTTCAACGGATCGGATCACATTACGGTTTTTGACCCACGGATCGGATAATTTTTCGGATCAGCAAGAAAAGAAAAATATTTCAATTTATCTTGCTTTCCATTTACTACTTAATGCAAAGTATTTATTTTGATACCACAGCAAATACTACTAGATTAACAAAGAAAGTTTAAACATGATTAAAGAGACAAGAGAACAGCCAGTAAAAATAAGAACAAATACACAAATTACAATCATAGATAAACACAACACAATATGTTACAAATAAAATAAGGTTGGTAGTATTCAAATACAGAAATGTAATAAATAGGGAAAATAACACTGCATAAATTAAATATAGATTTTTATCACAGCTGTTTTGTTGTTTGATGATCATTAATGACAG